CTCGGACGCAGCAGCAGCAGCAGCAGCAGCACTTTCTCAAGCCACATCGGATGGGTGCAACCGGTTGGCTACTGTCCTTCTCTGACAGACAGAAGTAAACGTATTGTCCAATCCCAGATGCAATATTTTGCAAGTGTGTGTGTGTGTGTGCGGGGGCGGATGAGAAGCTGTCCAGAGTGTGGGCATCTTCTGCGGAACGCCAATAAGACTTCTGAGTCAAGGTCTTTGGCCCAGCTCTGGGTAGCCGATAGGCCAACAGTAAGACAACGACCAACACATTTCGGCACACACACACACAAGCATTCTGTGCCTGTCTTGGTACACAACTAATTTGGGTCAGGACAGCAGTGAATGAAACCACTAGGCGTTTTATGAGGAATTGGGCATATGCAGGGAGGGGGGTGTGTGGGTGGGTATTGGGCCCACGATAGTCTGCTATACTGTCGGGACCAACAGAGCTGGGCAAACTAGGTATGAAGAGAGAGAGCGAGAGACGAATCAATGCTTAATGACAGCCAGTGAGAGAGAGAGAGCTAGAGAGCAAGTGGCCACGCCCTTTCTGGACTATGCTCAAGTTTGGGGAAATTAGGCCAACTCAGGCACATGAGCACAAACACGCACATACGTTTGCACGCGTACACACACACACACACACACACACACACATATATATATATATATATATATATATAAATAGAGGCCACGTATTATAGGGGCGTCACAGTGTCGGTCGGGCAAAGACGGTGGTATGAACTGGGCGAAAAATCGCGGTGGACAGTTAACTATACTCTATTGTGCAAAATGTAACCATGACGACTCAAGGCCAGGCACGACACACCTGGTAGTATGCCCAAACCTGATTGGTTAGATCCACGATAAAAGGGATACACACGCACACACGCACGGACGAGCACATGCACACGGGGTTGCCGGCGCACAAACGCGCATAGGGAGGAGAAGGCACATTGGGATAGTCATGATGATGTGTTGTGGGTTCAACTTGCCATACTGTGTACTGTACTGTAAATGGCATTTCGAGGAATTCCCGTGGTGGAGGTCATTATTAGATTGGTGGTGGTGGTGGTCGTCGTCGTCGTCGTCGTCGTCGTCGTGGGAGTGGGAGTGGGAGCACGGTGGATGGCAAATGGACCGGAGACAGCCCTCGGTAAGATGT